TTCTTGGGAGATTGTCTCATTTCCTAGGCAAGCTAGAAGCAAAATTTCATTGCACTATCTACAACTAATTACAATATATGTGTTGGGGTAGTAAGGGTGTCACAATTTCCATGGAACCATCTTGATTAGGAGGAGGAAAAATAGGGTGATTAAACTACACAATGAGTTAGGGGTTTGATGGAAATCACTTGTGGGAGTGATTGTTGTACTCTTCCAAGTTCCATCTTCATGTCCACATCTTCTCTTGAGGATGAATATTGATTTGGAAGCAAGGTTCGAAGCTTCAAAAGCTTGAAGAAGCAACAATGGAGATGCAGATTCTTCTTGAAGAAGAAGAAGAATTAGGGAACTAAGGCACAAAGGAAGGATTCCTTTGTGAAGGTTCTTAAGAGGAGAGTGTTCTCCATGGTTTTAGAGACTCTTGAGAGAGAGAAATTCTAAAAATTCTATCTCATATATGTCAAAAGTGAATACAAAGGTAGGAGAAAGGTTTATATAGAGTATGGAAGCTTGTAGAGCAAGCTAGGCTAACTATGATTCAAAGGAACCATGGTTAGCTTAACTTGACCGTCCATCATGGTCTAGGAGTCTTGTGGAGCAAGCTTCCAACTTATAAGGTTGGGAAGCAAGCTAAGTTAGAAGCTTGTAACACAAGCTTCCCAAGTGTGCAAGGTAAACTAGGAATCTGGCTAGGGAACAAGGCTAGGCGGCCATGGCTTCATTCTCCATATTTAATCCAATCCAAAAAGTTGGAATTGGTTTAGTTAGGTTCACCAAATGACGGTGAGACCTAGCTAAATCAATTCCTTGGAAAATATGGAGAAGAACAAGCCCAATATGTAAAATTTGGCCTAGGCCCAATTGTGACCCAATTACTAGTTGCACCTACACACCTTACTATTTGTCACCCCACTTCTACTACTGAAAATACAAAAATGAATGACCTTTAATACAAGGTCAAATGGAGTAAAAGTCTCAAAGGAACATACCCTAAATACTCAAGAGAATATCCTATAAAGAAAGAAATAAAGTGCCTCACAAATACAAAGGCAAAAATGAACCTATACAAGAACTACTATGTACAAGTGAGCTAGACCATCTCTTCAAGATATGATGGCCCACATGAAAAGTAGCTTGGGCTTAGAGAGCCCACTAACCTTCAAGCTAGCCAATCCTTCCTGTATGCTCCTGGCCATAGCTCTAGTGATTGGGCCCTTGGCCCATGGTCCATCAGGGTTTGGATTGAGGATAAATAGGAGCTTGAAGAAATGACAACAAGTTTTTATAATGATTTATTTTCAAAACCTGGCGAGCATGAATCGTTTTGTTAATAAAATTCATTTCCATAACCAAAACAAGATGATATAGAGAAGTTGGAAGCACCTTTTTCTCAATAGGAAATCCAAGTTGCTCTTAGACATACAGGGGTTTGAAAGCCCCTGGTCTGGATGAATTTCATGTTTTATTTTACCAGTCCTAATGGCCTATCGTGGCACCATCTCTTTGTGAGTTGATTCTCTCTATCTATGAGGAACCAAAAAAGGTTGCAAAGATAAATAAAATATTAATTACCCTTATTCCTAAGGTCGACAATGTTATTTCTCTAAAGCAGATGAGACCTATAAGCTTATGTAATGTATTCTACAAGATACTTACAAAGGTGGTGGCTACTCGCTTGAGAAGTATTATGGAAGATATAATAGGTCCTAACCAAAGTAGCTTTGTACCTAATTGACAAACTACAAATAATATTATCATAACTCAAGAAGTGATTCACTCTATGAAACATAAATCAGGAAAGAAATGATGGATGGCCATAAAGATTGATCTAGAAAAGGCTTACGATAGACTAAACTAGGATTTCATTAGAGAAACTTTATTCGATATTGGACTCCCGCAAAAAATGATTGAGTTAATTTGGTTTTGTATCTCTTCTCCATCTTTGTAGGTTCTATGGAATGGGGAAGCATTAAAGGATTTCAATCCTTCTCATGGCATCAAACAAGGGGATCCCTTGTCCCCATATATTTTTGTGTTATGCATGGAAAAGTTATTTCATCTAATCAATATAAATGAATAACAAAAGTTGTGGAAAACAATCAAATTATCAAAAAAAAATGCCCATCGTTATCCTACCTAGCATTTGCTGGTGATTTTATTTTTTTCTTTGAAGCGTCCTTGGAGCAAGTTGAAATTATTAAAGCTTTCCTGGAGACATTCTATAACAGCTCAAGCATGAAGGTGAGCTAGGAAAAGACAAGAGTTTGCTTCTCCAAAAATGTCGGATGGAATGTAAAGAATGTAATTAGTTCCTCGCTTGGTTTCCAACGTACTGATGACTTGGGTAAATATCTTGGTGTCCAACTTCATCATGAGTGTGTGAGCAAACGAAAACTCCAAATAGTAATGGATCATATCAACAGAAGGTTAAACTCTTGAAAAACTAAGTCCCTCTCATTCGCAGGTTGCCTTACATTATCTAAATCAATCCTTGTTGTTTTACCTTCGTATACAATGCAAACAATTTTCTTTCCTAAACAATTGTGTGATGATATTGATAAGTCTAGTAGATCTTTCATTTGGGGGAGGATGGCCACAATCGATGTATCCATGCTTTTGCATGAGAAACTCTTTGTAAACCTAAAGATGGTGGAGGTCTTGGTTTAAAGGAGACACGTAAGGTTAATCTATCGTTTATGATGAAGAACTGTTGGGCTCTATGTTCCCAACCTAATAAGCTTTGGGTTTAGGTGGTGCGATCTAAGTATGTGTATGGAGAAGATATTATTCTGGTGATCCATAAGAAACCAACAACGTTTAACCTTTGGAGAGGAATCTATGAAGTGTGGGACAAGGTTGTACATAATATAGCATGGAACATAGGAAATGGTAAATCTACTAAATTTTGGTCTAACCGCTGGCTTCCAACCAACATGGTTCTTAGTGAGGTAGCTATTCAAACAGCACCATGGAGATACATAGTACAAAAGTTGTTGATTTTGTTGATGCGAACGGGAACTGGAAGCTTGATGAGGTGTGCTCATACATTCCTATTCAACACTAGCAAGAGATACAAGGTTTGACACCCCCTTCTCCTGAAAATGATGAAGACCGTATATTTTGGGGTGGTTCTAGGACTGGAAAATTTTCGATTATAGCTGCATGTGAATCCTTAAGAGCTTCGCCTTCTACAAAGTCACAATGTCTTTTTAATTTAATCAAGAAATGCCCCAACCCTAAAAGAATCAGATGTCTTTTGTGGAGAATTGCACACAATAGTCTTTGCACAAATGATTGGAGAAATTCACGTTTTATAACTACAATTGCAACTTGCACACGCTGGCATGCAAGTCGTGAAACATGTTTACATGCACTAAGAGATTGCACTTTTTCAAAAAGTGTATGGAGTGAAATAATGACCCATAACGTGGATCAAGGGTTTTTTCTCTCTCCTTTAAATGATTGGTTATTGTCCAATCTAAATGCTTCCAATCCCGAATGGTCCCAATTGTTTGCTATGACTCTAGACTCCATTTGGAAGGCCTGTAATAATTTAATATTTTGCCAGACAGATATTAGTTCTATTCAAGTAGCTTGTGAGGTCAATGGTTGCGTATAAGTTTTAACAAAAATATTGTACGAGCAACCTAATGTTTCATCTCAGAACAATTCACACAAGTCAGTAATCAGATGGGTCCCACCTTCTCCCGATATACTGAAACTTAACTGTGATGGAGCCATTTCTAATAACTCTTTGGTTTCTTGTGGTGGTGTGTTGAGAGACAGTAATGAAACCTTCATATTAGCATTTTCTGGAATGATCGGGTGTTGCTCTGTTGTACAAGCCGAGCTTTGGACTATTTTTCATGGACTACAAATTATTAAGGATAGATTCTTACATTATCACTTCATAATAGAATCTGACTCCTCTATTACTATTCAATTCTTGAATGATGGGTGTCCCTAATATATCCATGTTACTCTCTTCTTAATCAGATTATCAAGAGATTTTTTTGAATTAGATTGTGTTCATGTCTTCCGAGAAGCAAATCAAGTAACTAATAGTTTTGTTAAGTTAGGATTAACTCCCTGAAGAGTGTATTATTTTAACTCTTCGCCAAGTTAGATGCATTTTTTTATTACTAACTAATAGGTCTATTATTTTTTTTTTCCTCGTTGATTCTAGTTTATTATTGGGCTTTTAGGCCCCTTATTAAACAAAATAAATAAATAAATACATGCTTATAATTTATTTTTTAATCTCTAAAATGATAATGGAATATCTTTGGTATCCGAAAATAGACTTTTTTTTCATATTTATTTACAATATAAGAAAAGTATATTAACAAAATACGGTAATTTTAAATTGTAAAAATTTAAATAAGAAACATATATAAGATTTTTTTTTATTTATTTATTTTTTTAAAACTTTCCTTTAATCCCATAAATTTCTTTGTTTTAAGCTATTCTCTTCTTTTTGCCTTAAACCCCTGACAAAAAAAAAAAAAAATTACGGCGAGGATCACTTCTCAGATAACACAGTTTATTTTATTTTCTATGAAATTTTGTGCTTTCAAAGCCAATTCCGCACGAATTTGATAATCATTGATACCATGGTTAGTTTTCTTTTTCTTTTTGTATTTTTTTTTTTATATTTTCCATTAAGGTTTTTTTCCTCTATTTCTTTTTGACACTGCTTTATTCTATGCGCCATTTTGTCTTTTGTGAATGTGTAATTTGAAATTTCACACCCAAATAATTTGTGGGTGTTTGCGAAATTAATTTTTGGATGTTTGCTCTGTAATATGAGAAATCTTTCAATCTTTTTCCCTTAAAAAAAAAATAACAGCAAAACAGTGAGGATTAAGATAAATAAATCCAATTGGAAGCATCAATTAAAAATGTTATTTCTTGTGGTAAAATTAATCATTGTTATCAATTAAATTTGAATTCTTTCTTCATTTCAACAAGAAACGAAAATGAAACACAATCACAATTGAATATAGAAATTCGGGTTTTGAAATCCTGAATTTTAAATGTAAGTGTTACATATATGGGATAATTGAGAAACGTGAATTCAGATTTTAAAGAAAGACCAATTATGCATATTAAAAGGTGAAGGAGGGCAGTTGCAGCATTATTTTACTCTCTCACGGGTGAACCATATGAGACATTGGTTCACCCTAGACATTGGTGAAGGAAGAGGAGTTTCGTGAGCGTCTTGAAGAACAACGAGAAAATGTCGGTGCTGATCGTGACGAGCTTGGGGGACCTTGTCGTCGATTTGCACACCAACAAATGCCCCTTGACCTGCAAAAATTTCTTGAAGCTTTGCAAGTAATTTCTCATTCCCTAACCCTACCGTCCGTTGCAAATTTTCGATTTTGTTACTTTTTCGTGCTTCTGAAACCAAAACCCTTATTGGGTCGTTTTTCTTCACGCTGAACTTGCTTTTATTTTTTTATTTTTAAAATTTTTTAGTGTTATGCTATTTGCATATGTTGATTATTTCTTCATAGTGATAAGTTAGTCTCTGATGATCTGGACTTAGGGTTTGTTTGGAAAAAATTATTCACAACATATTTAAAATTTTCTTATGACATAAATAAGCGTTTTAGGGAGTATATGAAAATACCTTATGATATGTCCATAAGTTTTCAGTATCTTCTTATTAACTTCTGTAGGACAACTTGAGAAAATAGTTTATAACTTTTATTTTTTTTTTGCCCCATTGGAATTGTATTTGGTAACAAGTGATTTACAACAACTCAGGTGCTTTGTCCAACCAATTGAGCTAGACTCCCTTGGTAGTTTAAGATTTATATGAAAATAAGTTAACCCAATTATCTATTCAATTCTAAATAAATAACTTATATATAAGTGATTACATATTAAATACATATTCAATAATCTTTAATTAAGTTATTTTCCTAGATAGGACTTTATTGTTATTATTTTTTTTGAAAAAAAATATCGGCTGTGATATTTGCACATATTGGTGTTTGTTCAAATTATAACATGCTCTCTGTTGGTTTGGAATTGTTGAGCCAGGATAAAGTACTACAATGGTTGTCTATTTCACACTGTTCAGAAGGATTTTACTGCCCAAACTGGTGATCCAAGTGGCACGGGAACTGGTGGTGATTCTGTTTACAAGTACGTAACCAAAATTGCTTGTGCATTTAGTTACTGTATAACATTCACTAATTTTTTCTTTCAAATGTGAAGTTTCTGACACTGCATTCTCATTTTGTGCAATCACTTCCTCATTTGTCAGGTTTCTATATGGTGATCAAGCCCGGTTTTTCAGCAATGAAATTCATATTGATCTGAAGCATTCCAAGACTGGAACTGTTGCCATGGCAAGTGCTGGAGAGAATCTGAATGCTTCACAGGTATGTCATATTTTTGGGCAGGTTGATGGTTGGTTTCCTTTTTTTTTTCAGACTCGTTAGTACATTGTGTAAAATAAATTTTCAATTGCCATTGTTTTGTTTCTTTCTGTTTTCAGTTTTATATCACTCTGCGTGATGACCTCGATTACCTTGATGGAAAGCACACAGTAAGTATCCTATGCATGCTTGCTTTACTTGTTTCACGGTTATGTGTGCATCCTTATGCTGATTGCATGGAAATATTATCTTTTGATGGATTTAGATATTTAGATATAATTGACATTTGGTAGTTTCACTTCTCCTGCACAAAATAGTTTTAATTTTTTTGTGGTCATTACAGAGGGATAAATTAGGGAGGATTTTATTTTGCATTTAATAATGATAATATTTGGTGAGTTCTTTTAACTTTTAAGCAGTTTGTGCTTTACAAAGTAAACATACATACCTTTTTACTTTTAGAAAAGAACATTAAAAATAAAATCTGTGCAAGTGTAAGTACTCAAAAGATAACCTCAGGCCCTTCTGCCAATAGCAGGTATGTTTGTGGAATCATGGATTATAAATTTTGGAATAAAGGCCATTCATTTCAGAGTGGTGATTAGTTTTAGTGCATTTTAAATTCAATTGTGTGCTATTATAAATAATGGTGATAGATTATTTTGATTTCATCAATGTGTTTGTAAAAGTTGATTTATGTCGATGGTTTTAGAACAAACTTAGATATAATAGTATATTAAAGTGTTAGTTCCTCCTACATTTGTTTCTATGTAGCAGATGAGCTTTTTATTAGCATCACCTGGTCTCCTATGGTAATGCTGTTGATTCTGAAATATGCATTTTCCTTGCATAATAATTTTAAGTGCAAAGAAAATGATAATATTAGCTGCTCATTCTAATAAATAATCATATGAACTAGTTGAATATTTTCCCTACTGTTAATTGTTTCTCCAACCCTAAAGTGTTAAACAAGTCAGTTGTGGAATTAGACAACTCATAATTAAAATTTGGGGGCGGGGGCGGGCCCACATCAAAGCGTGCAATAGTGTCATTTGGTGGTGGATCTGTCAGTTGGTACCAACTTCCAAGGAAGCTCCGCCTTGGATCATTTCATACAGCAGCAATCATGGCTAGTATAGCAGTCTATAATGGGACTTTTCATAGCTGTAGTTTCTTATATGCTGAACAGGTGTAAATTTCATTCTTTAGTGATTAGTACCAATAAGATTGACATATTGTTTGCTCAATGAGGGAGAAAATAGGACTCCCCATTTTATTCTGTTTTTAAGACTGTATTTCTTCCTCTCCGTTCAAATTTTGTAACCACAGTAATAAGAGCCATCTGAAGTGCATTCCTCCCAGCCTACCTCATTTTTTATTCTCCCCTTTGTCCCCCATGTCTGGCCATATATCCCAGCAGTGTTCCCTGTCTCCTATTTGTTGCTTAGTCATGTATCTGGTGAACAAGGTATTTATTCCAAATTATGTTGGTCAGAGTCCCCCTGTTACCCACTTTGTTATTGTTGCTTAACAAGGTGTTGTTTCCTTTGTTTTGTGTTGCAAGTAGGGGTGTGTATGTGATGATGAAAAGCATTTAAATATTCAGTGCTTTTTCTAGTTAATGGTTATTTAAAAAGCATGAAATATTACCTAATGGCTAATTCTATCAGACATTGATTTGGAAATGCTACTTTATTTATTTAATCACATATGACTTTTATACCATGGAAGTTAATTTGTTTTCTGAGATTCGTTCATTTTTACAGGTTTTTGGTGAGGTAGCTGAAGGATTTGAGACTCTAACTAGAATAAATGAGGCTTATGTAGATGAGAAGGGAAGACCATATAAAAATATAAGGTTTGTACTCATTGTTTTGTGCTACAAAATGTTGGTCGGAAATGATGTTTTCATATTTGTTTTTTTTGAGGTGAATAGAATGTATTAATCTTCTTGAATTACTTGAATAGAATCAAGCACACATATATCCTGGAGGATCCTTACGATGATCCTTCTCAGCTATCTGAGTTCATTCCTGAAGCTTCTCCGGAAGGAAAACCAAAAGATGAGGTAAGGGTTGATTGCAATACTGTATTTCATTGCTTGACACTGCAAAAAAAAAGTAAAAAAAAATTCATTGGTTATTTGTTGGAAGTGCAATGATCTTTTAACTTATAAAGCTATTTGTTATGAAAATGTGTCCATTTGATTAAAAAATGAAGCTATTTCCTTGACCTTATTTTTCTTAACTCAAGCATATGGGCAAATCCATTTGGGTACTATAGACACTCTTTAAAGAAGTAACTTTGAAGTTACATTAATTTGGCTGATAGAAATACGACGAGTCTGATTGTAGAGGCCTGTATTTTGAATTATTTGAAATGAACTATGCGTAACTCAATCTCAAAAGGTAACTCAAGGGAGGAAGATAGCCTGAGCCTTAAAAAGAGTATTTTGGTCTTATCTCTAATTGATGTGACATACCTTAACATCCACCCATCATGCCTAGATTTAGACTTCCGGGGCATGAAGTTTATAAGACTTGACATTTGTAGGTGACCTAGCATCAAGACTGGATAAAGCAATGATTTTTCATGAACCAACTAATACTATCTAAAATGCTAAAGTTAAATGAAAATGTGTTAATATCTTTATATCTTTAACATGCCCCCCTCACTTAAGATCCCTTTGGGATTGAAGTGTGAGTAATGCATAGGCTTATGTATGCTGGAATTCAATTTTTATTAAAAGGGGGTGGCAAGGTTCAATCTTTAGACTGCTTGGTCACAGAGGCTCCATTATCATATTAGAAATGGTCCAAGCCTAACTCGATGCCAAAAGGCAACACAAGGGAGGATTGCCCAAGACATGTAAGGAGTATTTTGGCCATATTACTAGCCAATATGAGACATGAATCTTTTCCTATGAGATGTTTCATTGAAATACAGGCTTGTTGAAAAAATTAAAAACCATAGTTTGGAGGTAATATGATAGGAACTAGATTCAGATTCAATAGAAACTAAAAATATTATTGATTGGAGAAGAACTATTACAGAAGATGACCCATGGAATCCCAGAGCCACTGTTCCTCAGAGAAGAGATAATTCTCTCTCTGCTCAATTCATAAGATTTCTAACAGAATCGATACTCAAAGCCTTTTCCGTTAGCTGTGTGCTCTCCCTATATATGCATTACCTCCCCTAAATAATTGGTCACATCAGCTATTGTAACTAGTTCTCTTTTCAGCCCTCTTGTTGGGGCCCACAATTATCCTCTCATTATATGATCAGTAAAATACTTGCCACGACATTTGTAATGCTGTGCTGTTTATGGTGTCAGTTGCTTTTTTCATGCAAGGTTCGTTATCAATTGATATTTTATAGGATAAGCTTGTATTTTTTGCTGCACATAAGTGTGCTTTTCATGGTTTTTGAGTGGGTTTCCCCAAAAAATATGAATTGGAATAGAGAAGTTATTTGACTTGTTTTGCACTGATGCATTTGTTTAATTTCAGTGCTTTATTTTTTCAGAAATCTGGAGAATATCTCCTTCCTATTTTTTGTAGTTCTTCCAAAATATATTTTTTTCTTCTATAATTATGGTGGTGTGAAAACTGAGAATTGTTTCCTACATTGTACAAGTTACAACAATGAACCAGGAACTGATTACATGATGATTGGATTCTTGTGATATTACAAATTAACTATTTCTGGCTGTTATTTTATGGCTATAGATGGACGTTTGTATTGGATTTTACTTGTGCTTTTAGTGTATTTGTTCAGCATTCACTGTAAAAGTTCCTGACTCTCGCTGTATGGCTATAGATGGATGAAGGATGATTGGATCCTTGTGATATTACAATTCATTTAAAGCATTATAATCAATAGTCTTCAGTAAGAACACTTGTTCCAACTTCTAATTCATGACCTAATGGAATTTTACTAGGTCGATGATGAAGTGCGACTTGAAGATGATTGGGTGCCCATGGATGAACAATTAAACCCAGCAGAACTCGAGGAGGTTATTAGATCAAAGGAAGCACATTCTAGGGCAGTTGTACTTGAGAGTGTAAGTATGATGGATAAGAATTTTAGTACTTGATTTGTGAATGTGATCCCATTTAAACTCTTTTTGCTTTCTTGTTTTAGATTGGGGATATTCCTGATGCTGAGATTAAGCCCCCGGACAATGTATTATTTGTCTGTAAATTGAACCCAGTTACTGAGGTGAGTAATCTTTCTGTGTTATGGATCTATAATTATCATGTACTCTTTCC